AGAGATGCCTTAGTTAGCTGCAGGTATCTTCCAAGTGCGTAACACCTAACAAAAGCAATACACGTCGAGTCTGGTAGCACAAAATGTCACCAAAGCTGCAAGACGAAATTGAAGATCTATGATCATAATTTAAAGTCGACACTGCCGGACTCGATTACTATGTACATTATTCCCGCTCTGCTTGCAAGTTAGTAGCATGACATCATTGAGACCATTAGCATAAAGTGCATTGCGCTTTTCATAAAATGCTGGGTCTTCTCATTAGACGGGATATTGATAAATCTATGCTACGTACACGGTACACCCAACCTAAAGACGTCCATTGTACAATACATCGAACGTTTCTAATTTAAGCTCAAAAAAAGAATCCCATCAGTCCAGTCCCATCCATGTGAAAGAGCTATGTACCTAACATAACCTTAGGTATTTAGCGCCGATGTCCCAAACAACCTGACATATGCACATCCAGTTACGTTATCGATATATGTGTCTAGGTGCCTATTTCCATTGGTGCGTTATCGAGAAGCTCTACAGCACCAACAGGATATCTGCATACGCAAACGCCGCGCGCCAACCCCTTTCCGCCTGCATCAAGTACCTGTAACGAACCGTTATGTACGATGGCGCTCCATGCATGCTCCATCATTTATTACATAGTAAATTACCTGTAATATTCTAGAAGGCAAACGAGGGGGATTGGTGTTGTTGTCTTACAAGGAGACCTATCAACTACCTTAGGTACCTAAGGTATATATCATCATCCAAGTATTGCCGGGTTGTAAGACTTGAAGAAATTAAGATGACACCGCATATAGAATTTCATATTAACTTACCGTATAGTAAGTACACACCTCAACCCATGATTCATTATGTTACCCGAATTCAACAATTAGGTCCCGGCAGAGACAATTATACATGTGCCTATGCAGCCAACAATGTTTCTTTACGTGGCGTTCTGGGTTGTTTTATACTTCGCATGACTTGCATACGGCCAATTTACCTTACTTCAACAACATTTAAATAACCTTAAGGCTTTAATAGACCCGAGACAAAGTTCTGAACATCACTTACCATAACCGACCGCACATACATGTTTTCCCGTTGGGCACTATTACCTCCATGAGCAACCTTCTCTTTTGAATTGATGTACCGCGGTCAAGTGATACGTGCTACAGATGTTAAGCAAATCTATAAATCACCACCTTACACCCTAACGATTACCTACAAAGAGCTCTCTTTGAGGAAAACGACTATGATCCCCCTCCTCTGATAGACTTAAACGGTCACATGATTTATAGAATAAATATCTCTTGAATACTTGGCTTATAATCCAGTAGACCAGAGCTACAAGGCATTGTCTTATATCGCGGTACTGGCCATGAGGTCCTTATAGGTGGACATAGCAACGTCAACTCGAGGGGTTGGCATTGTCCTACCGTAGCGGTTTGATAGCTATCTTCCGAACTCTGATACTTTGCCTATATCCACCTCATAACTCAGCTATCATTAGTCTTATTAGTTACTGTTGAGGAGAGCGTATCGAATGTTCTGCACATGTCATTACTGCGGAAAACCTTCATTCTCGGCAGCTGTAGGTGATTTACATATTAGTCCTATTTCTTCATGTAATAGACTTTAATCCTACCTCGATACAGTTGAGTGAAATATCTGTCACCCATGCCAATTCAATCAATATTTGGGTATATAACCTTTCGTACATTGGTATAGTCCCCTCAAACTGCTAAGTTCACCTAACATTTTGACACAGAGTCCCACCAGGAAGACTCCCAATTTCTACCTATCTTACTAATATATAGAAAATTTAAGCCCATCATCTAGTTGAGTTTAAGCTATCGTTAAGTACCTACTTATAGGGGTTGGTATCATGGGACGGGGTATCTCTTCTACAAAGTTCTGATTTGAAAGTCATTATCCAAGGCTGAATACTTATGTTGATAGGTGGGGCTGGGAAGAATACCAAGTTTAATACGGATATTGATATATTTCAACATGACAATATGATACCTCGTACGTCTTTTCTAATTACCTATAATATAAATATGGTAAGTAGAGTTGATTAAGGGCCAGCTACCTATTAGCTGGAACCCAGCGTGGCCTTCTCGAAATATAGTTAACTTATAGGTTCTAGCTTGCCCAATATCGTAATTCTTTATGTGACCATCTAAGTGAATTCCCGCTCTATGCTTGTATCTTACCACAATGCCATCTTGGGGAATTAAACGGACTGATCCAGTAACGCTAAAAGTCCCTGAGCTAACAACGAGGCTATTTACTTAAAGCATTTATGAGCTTACCATATAGGTACCATACTAACGATTGGGACCGGAAGTTAGTAGCTTGAAGATGCTGAAGATTTAACTCTGCAAAAAATAAATGAAAACCTCGAGTCGAATAGGTACCAGGGCGAAATTCCATGCTGGTCTTACTTATACCTATCTTGGGTTGAGGGCGCCAAGGAAACTCCTGGCTAGGTCAACATTCCGGTTGATGAATAATATAGAAACCCGTATACTATACGATATAGTTCTTCCATTCTGTTTCATGAATCCTTCTGATTACTTTGGTCTGGAATGGACATGTGAATTGCGGAGTTATTCGTTCTCGGTAATCCATGAAGTTCAGAACCCACCAAATTAGCCCTAGGCACCATTCTACTACCTAATTCGAGTATAGACGCGGTCTCCAGTTTGTCCGTTTATCACTAATGCCAGCGGGTATCGGGCCTACCATTCTACGCCTGATGAATCATCGCCGAACTTGTTACATGCGCTATCGTAATTCCATTATACGCCTCCAAGATTTGTTGCAAGACCCCTTGTGTGGTAATCAGGGATAGCCTCCACTGATCTGACGCGATGCTTAAGTGTGGCCTTTTGCGGGATGGTGGCTAAAAAAAAACAAAAGTGCTGAATTAGGCAAGTCCGCAAGATATCCGGGCGCCGAATTGACCATGCCGGGGTCATGCGTATGAAATTCAGGTATAGCGGATATTCTAAGGATCCTACATAGCTTCACAACGGAAGGATCCGCATTCAGCAGCCATGACTGCTCGGAAACTGTACGATGACCAGACGAAGACGCTGGCATTTGTATATAAAGGTGCGGTGAGAACCTGAATGAAATCTGTAGGTAACTCATGGTTGCGGCAATTCAAATACATAACTCGATTGGCATCTCTTCGTATATCCTTTACCTACGAAACCCTCTTGCTCTGCATTGATTTGCTATAAAATGGCCAAGTTCTCCCACGAGGCTATCTTCGAGGCTGCCTACCAGGCTGGCGAGATCCCAGGCGTGGCCCTCGTGGCCGCTGATGCCACTGGGAAATTCAGATATGAGAAATCATTGGGCAAGACGGCCCACGGAGAGCCATTCTTAACAGATAGTGTTGTGTGGATGGCATCCTGCACAAAACTTATGACAGCCGTAGCAGCTCTGCAACAAGTTCAGCGGGGACACATTGGCTTGGATGAGGATGTCGGAAAGGTGCTCCCAGAAGTTGCTGCACTGAAGGTGTTGAAAGATTTCGATGCTGAAGGGAAGCCGATCTTCGAAGACAGGAAAGAAGCAGTTACTATAAGGTGAGTACGCTTTCGAAGAGTTCCTCTTGGCCGAGAGTCACGTCGCTTACTCCTTTTTCAAGAAACATGCTTTCACATGCCAGTGGACTTAGCATGGCGTTTTTTGCCCCTAAGCTCCAGCAGCTAGAGAAGTTCACGGGCCCTCCCGCGAACCCTCCCAAAGACATCGTGACCGAGTTCTCCCAACCACTTGTATTTCAGCCCGGAAAGGGCTGGCAATACGGTTCGAGCTTAGACTGGGCAGGGAAGCTCGTTGAACGGATTTCCGGACAGTCCCTCGAGGACTACATGAAGGCGAACATCTGGGACCCGCTAAACATGCGTCATATGACATTTGCGCCTGATTCAAGGCCGGAGACGAAGGAGCGCAAGCGGGGAATGACTCGGAGGGATAAGGATGGGAAACTATACCCAACAACGGAGGGCTACCTGTTTCTATACGGAGATAGGAAAGACGCGTACGGCGGAGCGGCGGGTTGGGGATCCGCCGAGAGCTATCTGAATATACTACAAAGTCTATGCGCGAACGACGGCCGAGTCCTGAGTAAGGAGCTGGTGGATGAGATGTTCAAGCCGCAGTTGGGGCCCGAAGGCAAGGAGACGTTGAACAGCCTACTCCACTCCGACGAGGAGACCCGACGAATTCTTGGCAACACATTCGATATGACGCACCAGGTGGTGGATTATGGACTGGGCGGAGAGATCGGGCTTAAAGACGAAGCCGGCAGACGGAAGGCGGGAACGATGACTTGGGGCGGCCTGCCGAACCTGATCTGGTGGATTGATAGGGAGAGCGGCTTGTGTGGCGCGCTGTTTTCAAACCTGATACCAGCAGGGGACGCGAAGATCGTGGAGTTGATGACGCAGTTCGAGCTGTCAATCTATGAGCAGTATGAAGAGTTTAAGAAGCGAGAGTCTATTTAGTTGTTGGGCTACTAATCTACATAGCATCATCGGTCTATGCAATTTATAACGAACCAAGTATGTTTCTTTTTTAATCAACATCGTGGACTCTGCCGCGGTTGACTCGACTAATTCGTAAAATGGTTGTATGGCACCTACTTATCGTGCTTACTGCATGCGCTTGAATATCTCGGACATCCGTACCTCAGGTAATCATTGAATATTCTGGTCATCCATGCTGCCAATGAACGTTTGAGAGGCTTTTCATGTTGGGTATCTATTTCCGAGGTGAGTGATTTCATGCTGATTTAGAGATGTTTATATAACGCTATATAATAGCTATGCACGTAAGGTGGCTGAGGCAATTCAAAGTTTTCAAAAATACTACGTTAGGTACATCACAATAAGACGTCACCGCTTGCATTGTATGTAGGTAAGCAGACAAAAAAAATGATAAAAACGAAGTGATACAAGAGGAATTTAACCTCTCAGAATTGGACTCGCGGGGAATCGAACCCCGGACCACTCCCAGTTGTACAAGGGATTATCGTGGGATAATCACGTGCTAAGGGAGTATTATACCACTAAACCACAAGCCCCAGTTGTGAACCACACATTTCTGATGTGTGATTGGCAGTCATTCTTTAAACTGCTATAAACCAATGCAAAATATAGGATCTAGTTTGACGCTGTACCATGGCGCCGCTTACATGTAGGTAAATGTCTTACTTATGCAGATAATACCTGTGTAGGTAGCTGCTCTACACCAATACTAGCCCGAATCTTCATGTATGATTACGGCGGGAGGCAAAAATCCCTATCTGGATTATATAATACGTATAATAGCTATCCTTGTCTCCTTTTCTCCTCCAGAAGTACCTAGGGCTACGTGTGCGAAATGCAGGCGTTCGAAATAGGACCTTAGCCTGGACCTTGCTAGGTAGTTAGGTATCTTATGTGGTATTCAACTGTTAGTGGCTTATGTATTGCCTAACGACGCGACGTTTCGAATTTATGTCGAGGTATACCGGTGTAAAGACTGTTGAGAAATAAGACAGTGTCTAAAAAATGGCCTGGGCCTAAGGAATCTTATAAACTAACACACTAATATCCCGCCTGAAGATTTCCAAGCATTCTGCATGTAACATGGGGGTAAGTAAATACCTTACCCAGAAAAAAAAGGACACCCCCGCGATCCGACCGGGACTCGTCACTCATCACTTAAAAAATGAGGTCCCTATGAAGATACTGGGCAGCAACGAAACCTCTATCGATATACACAAACGAAACATCAGTACGTTACGTTAATATGCTGATATGTGCAGCATTGACTAATGACTTGTTAGACGTTGGGCCGCGACGTTTGAAAAATCTTGTCTAGGTTGAATCAATGGTTTTGTTTTAAACTCTGTAATATTACATAATAGCAGGGACCATGTATTTTCTGATAGGTTTATACCATCGATTCCTGAGGGGATACTCGCTTGAGTTGTCGCTGAACGCGGTTGGCGACAAAGAGAACAAGGTACCTCGGAGGTACTAGAGGTATTGACACGCGGGCAATGGTCAATTAGTTATATAGGTACCTAAGCTAAGGTAACCTAACCTAAGGTTAGGTACTTCCAACATCAGGGCCAGGTAGATACAATATAGAGAGATGCGTAGGGCCTCATATCTCCAAAATCAGGTACTTGCTTAGGATTCTTAGGTGTATCTGCTGCCTGTACCTAACCTACCTTAGGTACCTAAGGTAGGTACCTACATGTAGCTCCACCTAAGGTTATCCAAGGGTACAGTGCGTATTGTACCATATTGCCAGCCGCAGCTCCACTTTTGCACTTGCACAGGCACCTACCTAACCTAAGGTATCAGGGTAATCACAGCTGCTACAGCAAGCACCACGTCCCCACAAAGTGCAATCATTACGCAAAGGGCAGTGGCCGATCAACCGCGAACTTTCAAACACCTCTTAAACTAGACCTATTTTTTTTCTTTTCTATCAACTCGACTCTGCCAAACCTGCACCTCACCGTCGACCAAACCAAGTTAGATATTCAGGCAACTTGGTATAAACCATATCACTTCATCCCTTTCCCAGTAAACACAACTTAGCACGTTCTTTTTGATCCTGGAATCGTGGTACAGCGGCCTGCACCCGCTTGGACCTATCTGAATCTAGCTTTCCTTGAGAACTGCCAAAAATCAATATCTCTACACCCTCACATCATCCATCATCTGTCGCCCCTCATCCGCGCACCGCACACCGTCCACCTGCGACCTAACTATTTAATCTACATCTCTGCGACGCCCGGGGCCTATCCTTAATTCCATTTCCCCATCTCCCGAGTCAGCTGTGAATTCGTTGGAGCGTTTCTGCAACCGAGTCTCTTTTTTTTTTTTGATACCCGCAAGGCTGATATTCGGAGGCGAGGCTTAACCTTGCAATTTATACACCCCACAAAACCCTGCACTCCATCACCCCGCCTCGTGCACCGACGAGCAGTTCGAAACATCGTACTGGAGGAGCTGTCCAAGCTATTTGGACGCTCCCACGCTACGAATCAAATTGTCGTCGCCAATCACTTGAATCTTGGTAGTGGAGGGGGAGCTGACATATTCTTTGCGGCTCTGCCGCCCCGGCCTTCACCATGGGAAAGATAGCGAAGACCATGCAAGCTAAGCACAAGGAGACTATGGTAAGTATTTTTTGCATATTATCTGTTTTCGCATGTGGCTCGCTGACCCCCCTCTAGTCTCCTTGGTTGCAGGAGTTCGTAACTAAAGCGACCTCCACACCCTTACCTCTTTTACCCAAAGTCCTTGCGACATTCCCTTCCCGATGGCCTTTTCCGCGAGGCGATCTATATCACTGGATCCCGTTACTGAATCGCTTCGACGAGCTCCTAGAATCGTTCTGTTCCATTTATAAGTTGAACGAAGGCCCTCAGAATAGGGACTTTGGCTGCGAAATTTTATTAGGATCGGGCTCTACCGACGGCGAGGAACAGTCTAGCGACCTAAATAAGTTGAAGGAATTAGGGTATGGCGAGGATGGCGATGTTGACCTTATTGTCGCTATCCTCGAGTTTACTCAAATGCTCCTGGACCACTGTGGAAACCGCAGCATCTATGGCAGCAGTCCTCACCTGAACGACCTTCTAAACAGTACGGATTTTACCGTCATCTGTGCCACTCTGCGTGTGGGTGTGGAACTTGCCCAGCGTTATCAGGCATCGGTGAAACGCATTCACGGGATTTCAGCCCGGCAGGTGCACCCGTCCCTCCTCTCGAATCATTACAATATAGATCTTGACCGCGTGCTGCAACTTGCACAACCATTTGTTAAGACGCCTCTCTCTAAATCCCTGGAGCCTTCCCTCCTCTCTACCCCGGGTTCTTCCAGCAAGAATAAAGATAAGACTCATGGCGGAACCCCTAAAAACGTGGCTACTATGTATGCCAACGACCTTTGCGCTCTTGCGAAGGCGGATTCTATCGAATCCCCTGATTCTCAGACACGTTGGAGTGGCTGGGGTGATGTTAAGCTCACATACTATCCTACTTCCGATGGTTCTCAGGGGCCGACCCAACATTCTCTACCCGATCGAGTTGTAACTACGAATGTGCCTTCAACGCCGACACCTTTGAGACGAAGTAGCACAACCGGTGCGGCACAGTCTACCCCGCGTACGGGCCGTCAGGGAGCACCGGACGACAGCCCATCCTCCGTTTCTCGGTCTCCAGCCGTGGGCCGAGACGAGAGTTCCCCACCTGGACAGAAGTCTCTAGAGATATCTCATGCCTCGGTGTGCTCAACATCTATCTACCAGCTCCTAGCTAGGGCGCCGGCGGATCTTCCGAAGGAGACTAAGTACGAGTTTTTGAACCGTCTTAGGGTCGCCAAGGCGCTCACAGGAACGGTCGAGTCTCGGCGACAGGCATTGAAGGCACGTTTGTTGGCTATCCAGAATTTGGCATATATTCACATAGAGCCTACCTTCGTCGAGAAAGTTCTTAGACAGGACAATGATGAGCCGCGACGGTTCCAGCTCGTATACCAGCTTGCGGAATTGATTCACCCAGCTGCAGATGGAGCTACGGTAGTGCCTATTGACTTGCAGTCGATTGCGTTATCTCTACTAGAAGCCATCGCTGGTTTTCACAACAAGCTGCCCGATATATTTTCCGCACTAAACGCTACTGTGAACCACGGCGTGTTGCTTTATGTGATCAGGAAGGCCGTAGACGACATGAAGAATGACGACTCTGGAGAGCGATATAGCGCGGAAGACGAATGGCGTGACAACCTTTTCTCCCTCACCCTTCATATCACGATGGCCATGGCCCATAATACAAACCGCAGCACCCCTGAGATCATCTCGGCTGGATTGTTGGATGTTATAGTTGAGGTCCTCAACATTAGGTCAAATATAGCAGAACGCACATACGGCACCTTGGTAGGATTCCTAGACAGTCTGGTGTATAGTGTCCAGACATCGTTCCAGACCTTAATACATGCGGGGGGGCTTGACGCTATCACCAACCTAGTTACTCACGAAGTTGAACTCGCAGGGAAGCTTATTACGGAGGGCAAAGGAACACCTGCTACTCATCGTTCCCAGGTTGTTGATTACGAGATACCCTTTTATCAACAACAGAACCTAAAGTTTATCCTGAAATTCATCCACCATGTGATGTCCAATGCCTTTTCATTTGGTGGAAACACCGATCGACTATTGAGAAACCTTGTCGATAAATCTGCACTGCTTCACAGTATGCGCGAAATCATTGAGAACATGACGAGGTTTGGCTCTATCGTGTGGACAAATGCAGTCATTATTTTGAGCGACTTCCTTAACAACGATCCCACGAGCTTTGCGGCTATCTCGGAAGCAGGTCTGGTCCAGAGCTACCTGCAAGCTCTAACAGGTCGTCCAGTACAGGCAGAACAAACCAGTGCAATAGACTCAGCCCAGTGTGAAAATCGGGACGAGAGCCCTGAATCACCTTCGGATGGTTCTACCCCTGATCTCCTTGAACCTGACAATCGCCCACACCCTCCGTCATTGGATGATTTGGAAGCTCCCCGTGAAGGTCTGGCTCGAGGCATTTTGCCAAACTCAGAACCCATCACAAATGTGCCAGGCGTTTTGAATGCCATTTCTCTAAACAACGTTGGCATGAAAATGGTCGTTGCTTCTCGCGCATTTGACAGCTATTTCGAGATTTTTGAGAGTCCTGAGCATGTGCGAGTGATGGCGGCTGATGAGAGCGTAGCTTCTAATGTTGGTAGCGGCTTCGATGAGCTCGCTCGTCATCATCCGTCCCTTAGACCAGCTATAGCAAATGCAGTATTGGATATGGTTGCTCGAGTTGCTCATCTCGCCAAGGTTAAGGCAAGGGATTCTCAATGGGGAGCCAAGCTTCTTGTGAAGGATTCGAAAGGTCGAGAAGTAATTGCGAATGAAGCTCTATTACGTGAAACCGGAGAGGCCGTATTGGATAAGGGCAAAGACAAAGCTGTCACTACCGAGGGCGAAGCTGATGTGGAAATGGCTGATGCAAGCGTACAGCAAGCGGAAAATGAAGAATCAGCGGC